TATATATTTTTTAACTTTGTTAAATGCCATGAAATTTTATACATATGCATCTTACATCATAGAGAACCTACAAATAAAGTTTGAAAAAATAATATTTTTTTTTCAGGCCCCGAAATAAAGGGAAAACAAAAGGTGGAAAGAGAAAAAAAACAAATTAGTAAGTGGGAAAGCAAGTTTTGACACCACCATCTTTGCCGATTTTTTATTATTGTTTGGCTCCACAGAATGACTTCAAAATTGAGAGACAGGTAGCTTACATAATAGAGAACTTACAAAAACAAAATCAGAAACAAATAATAATTTTTAGGTACCAAAATATGTTTTTTTGCGGGGTTCGAACCCCTTCGAGTTTGGGCCCCGTACGGGGACCCGAACCCTTGAACGTTCGGGGGTCAACTTAGGGGCCTCTGTACGTTCGGTCTGAGAACTCTGTATATATATATATATATATATCAGCCTCCTGATGAGTCGGTGAAACTCCGACGAAACAGTTTGTCACAGCCCTTCGTTTGTTGTCCTCTTCTCTCTCTCTGCCTACGGTTTACCGTGCAGTTCTATTTGACGATATATATATATATATATATATATATATATATATATAGGGTTCAACCTCCTGATGAGTTGGTGAAACTCCGACGAAACAGTTTGTCACAGCCCCTCGTTTGTTGTCCTCTTCTTCCTCTCTGCCTACGGTTTACCGGGCAGTTCTATTTGACGATATATATTCCCCCCGATTATTTCAGGAGGGAAAATTCCCCAAAGTCCCACGGCCATGGCCGAGATTTTGGCCGCTCGACGGGATAGACCCCGCGACCGCGACCGGGGTGCACAACGTTGTTATATAAGAAAGGGGACAAAGAAGAGAGAATAAAAAACAGACCCATCATCCTCCTGGCAGTTCCCTACAAGATAGGGTCCAAGGCTCCTATCAACAGACTACTCTTCCTAAATTTCCTCGTCCATAACGATGAATCAGGCGTCATGCTCCTCCATAACATCCAAGATAACATGTTGTT